GGGGATAACATGCTTTCCTCCTGGACAACACTGAGAAAGCCACTTACAGAGCCAGTAGCAAAACCCTGGGAGGGAGCCAGTCACTCATCAACATCAGGCTACTTCACCGCATTATTCACATTAAAGTAGTTTTTGCAGCTGTCCTTGTAGACATGTCAAATAAACACTGTCGAAACTGCTGGATGGGAGAGCCAATGAAGACATAGTGCAGATTACTGCTGTGTAAACTATCAAAAATAAAATTACTGTTATATTGAGACCGTCATGACAACTATCACAATTACACAGCAGCGGTGCAGGACAGTCCCCTTCCGACCTCAGCCTGCTCATAACTCCGCTGCTTAGAGCTGCCCGGGAGCCAGCGAGCGCTCCTCGGCCGGGAGGTTCAGTCGCGGTGCCCCAGCGGGGACGGCGGCACGAGGAGAGCCCGAGGGCCCCGCGTTTCCCGCCAGCGCCTCCCAGGGCTGCGCGACGAACGCTGGACGAGTGCGCTGCTACCTGACGTGTCCCAGCAAAACCTCTAGAAAAAAAAGGGGCAGAGTTTGCTACCGTACAGACGACCCACAGAAGTATGCAACTTCAAAAAATCCAGTTTATTTCATTGGCCAAAGTATTAAACACAAAACTACACGAGCTTGTAGTTTATGCACCAGGAATGTAAGTCCTCATGTACAATTAAGGTTTTACTCTATTAAAAAAAAAAAAGAGTGAAATCCTGCAGCATTACTAAAGCAAATTGTCGCACAACTCACTGAAACTCAGGCTCCCGCGTGGAGACCAAGGAACAGAAACCGATGCAGCTACTTCAGAGACCTCAGTGAGTGTTAAGGAATGCACACAACTATTCAACTGTCTTAGAAGTATAATTATACAAATACAAAAGGCAATATATTACACATCTATATATAACATTGTAAGCCTCAAACATTGACAGAAAATATCAGATAATTCAGTTAGAAATTAATTTAAGAGGATTCTGAAGAGACCTTCTTAGATGGTAAGAAATAGGGCTAAAATAGTAATGTACTTCCGTACTTGTCAAATCTGTTGGGTATCGAAGGACATCTTTCCCCCTCAGAAAAGCCATTGCAGCCCCATAGGAAGCGGTGGGAAGTCGAACGCTCTGCACAAATGTCACAGACTCTCAGAATGAAAGCAGCTCTGCTCAGCTCTCAATACAGTCTTGCTAATGGCGCTGCTCAAAGCCATCGCTGGAAACAGTTCCCTTTGATTTAAAACAGTAGGTCAGTTTTAAATGTCAGCACTAAACAGCTTCTTTCATTATAATTTGAGATGATTCATTCCCATTTAATTTTTTTTTCCCTGCAGAATGTTGCAACTAAGTACAACATTTGGAACGTATTTATCACGACTACCTACTGTGGGGTAGAGCAGAATACATACTGTCTTAAAACAATTTCCTTACCCCTTTAAAAGGCCTCTACTTACACATTTTGCGTTGATCAGTCTAAAATGAACAGAAAATGTTCAAAACTCAAGAGTTTCAAACTTTTAAATGCAGCAGGAAAGAATTGCTAGTGCTGCTTCCCTTCCCACCTCTACTCCAACCCTGGCTAGAGCCAGCGCAACACTCGGCACCTGGAACTTGACGGGTGAAATAATTCCGGCCTCCCCTATCCCCCTCCGCACCCCTTTCCCTTTCTTAAAAAACCCAAGTTAAGGACAGTTGAAAGGTCACTGCTTACAGCAGCAAAGAAATGCTTGGGACTCGATTTGTATCAACATGGGATGTCAGTTCACAGAAAAATCCTCATTGAAAAAGCTGATCCAGAGACGGATGCACACACATTTACATTGTCACACACGCACAGAGAAGTAGCAGCCCTTTAGTACCAAGAAACTTTCCTTTTATCACTTTACAGAAAGGTATGAAGCCTCGTGCCATTTCAGCTATCATTTTGGATTCAAGCCAGACCAAGATTAAAATAATGAACTTTATAAAAGAAAAGGAAAAACTAACTGTACTTTAACACTGTCTGACTTGAAGCCAAAAGCGTTGTAAACATTATGTTACATCTCTATTTCATGGCATTTTTGATGTGTCAGAAAGCTAGTGATTAATAAAGTGGCTAGATTTTCCAAGCTTAAGAAACATCTTTTATACCAACGCCCAGTCTGAAAGTGTCTACTGTGGAGATAATCATGATCTTTGTAAAAAAAAAAACTACTTAAAAATAATAGTTCCTTAACACTAGCTCGTGATTAATACTGTCACAAATTTTACTTTTTTACTCTTTTTTTTTCAGTATAAGTTACTGTAAGGTATTTTAAAGTGTTCTTACAATCATTCCTGCAAGAGCAGATCAGGAGGCAGCTTTAAGTTCTGCAGGCCATTTCCTCACAACATTTGAAGCAAACTGAGGAAATGAAAAGCGCTACATTGAGAACCAGGGGCAGCAGGAAGCAGGGCCTGCTAATGGCTGCCTCACACAATTCCCTTGCCTGTGGTCACCAATGCTCCGGAGACCACTTAGTCTATTTGCAGTAACAACTTGTTTAACACCACTAATTACCCCTTCTCATCCCTGTTCATTACCTGAGAGGCTACAGGCCCTTAGTATAATAGCTGCTTAAGTTACTTGTGCTTCTGTTTAAATAAAAAAGGAACACATGAACTTACCCCCAGGCAAATAAGAAAGTTGACTAAAGTTTGCCTGTTTGCTCTGCTACAAGGCTTTTCTTTTTTATATTCTTGACAATAAGGGAATGCTACCTGCAGAAATCCAGTCACATTGGGAATGACCAAGCAGTACATGTTCATGCTGTTTCTCCACTCAGCACATGGTCTGAGTGCTTTTCTCAGCTGATGCTTCTCCAGGCTTCTGCATATGCTGTTTTAGTGCCGATTTTCAGTTAAAATCACAGGGTTGCAGAAGCTAGTAACAAACGAGGTCACACAACATGAAGGTTTGATGTTAAGAAACCTTGAACAGCTTTCTATTTTAGAATTTCAAATTAGGAAAGTAACAGGGACTGGAGATGAGCAGTTGCAGTCCTAGTTATATTCACGCTGTCCTCTCCCTTTGTGCTTGCAAGCTCCTGGAAGCGCCGTCCTTCGGCAGGATTCTCCTTGCAGTCTCAAGTAACAAGTTCACGTTAAACACATTCACACTGCACTGGATCAAGCAAATCAGGAAAGGGTTCATGTTTCTACATGATACCATTACATAACTACATTTCTCCCCATAAATAGGAATATTGATGAGTGACTTTTTGCCTTGTGCCCATTATTTAAGAATCTGAAAGAAACAGACATTATTGGCAGTGACTATTACAGCTATTGATAAGAATTCCCAGCCACAAGCACGGCTGCTGTGTGACTACTGGCCCATTTCAGAGGCATGTATATAAACCATAATGCACCTATAATGGAGGTTATACCGAAGTATGAGTATTGCCATGTGTACTAACTACTGTTTCAAAAGCTGCCATAACAAACACTGAAGTTCTAACCTTACATATGAGTGCAGTTTTCTCATGACTAACACGAGGAACTCATGTTACTGCAACACTGTTCTGAAGCTTCATGCCCACGCCACAGGGCTCCTACTAAACAACCTCTGCAGTTCTGCTGATGGAGGCTGGTAGTGCAGAGTGGAGGTCCCAAAGGGGATTTGTTTGTTCCCATACGGTGCATCTGCAGAAAGCCACACATCTTGGTCAGCAGCTAAGCAACGAGTTAACGCCTGGTAAGTTGGAGTTACATGAAGTTGTAAACAATCAAGGCCATAAATATAGTAATGAGGTCAAAGGGGTACTTCCCAAGCTATTAGAAGTTGATGCAAAATAATTACAACCATATATTTATTCTTACTGTCAGATGGGAGCAAAATCTGGGGCTTCAGGTTTAAGCATCTTAATACGCTATATATTACCTTCTTCATGGATAGGACCCACATCAGCATAAAACCCTCAGATTTATTGTGCACACTGGCCAATTTAACAATGTCAATCTGTTGATAAAGTTATGCTGATGCTAGGAGGTCGCTGCTGATTGGGTTGTTTACTTGAAATAGGAAGGTCTGTTCTTTCTGCTCCGTATATCAGTTTTTCCTCCTGAAGACTACAAGCTGAAAACCTGTTTGCCTCTGTACCAGATACACCGCCACGATTAGTTGGAACTGTGACACCACCACTGACCTGTTCAAAGGACTTACTGAAAACAGTAGTGGTAGTTCTGGCCAAACTCTGACTGCCAGGTTTAGGCAGGGACTGGCTGGTTGTCAGGGTCAGTCTCTTCAGAGAGATGAGCTCTAGGTTCTCACTCATGGCTCTCTGCGTTTGTTTTCGTGACAAGTGTTCTCTGCAGCTTTCCCCTTCTTTTTCTTTCCCTCCAGCTTTGCTTCCTCCAGATCTTCGTTGGCTCTTCCCTAAAAGGCTCTTGCTGCTGGTGGTGTTGCTGTTTGATAAGGCAGACTGACTTGTGCTGGAAGTAGCCCTTGAGTAAAATCCTTCATCAGTTTCAGATACTTCTATCAGTTCTTCTTGAATTGCTAAATCAGTATTATCTGCAGAGTAGAATAAGAAAAAAAAATGAGCATTTGACTTCTTCACATTTAATGGTTTTATATATTACTAAATTTTGATATTTACAAGCAGGAAGCTTTAAAGCAACAGAACAGAGAGCAAACAGAAGACCTAACACTTACCTATTAAATTACACTTTGGAATACAATTCATTAGGATATAAATTACAGCAAATAATGCTGCATTCATTCAATCAAGAAGCATGCCCGCAATCTCATTTTGTAGTGATTTTGGGAAAAAAAAAATGCAATCTTGTTAATTCATGCAAGAGATTAGAAAGGTATTAGAAGGTATCACACAAAACTAAACAAAAGTGTAAACCTTATTTTGAGCGAGCACTCCCATATACTATTTCGCAAAGCTTGTTAATTCTAGAGGTGTGTGATCAATGCCCCAGAACATGTAACACGGCACCTGCACATCAGCAACCCAGGAATGCGTTAGGACTGAAAGGTCACCTTCTGCATCAGAGTCTGATGGTACGAGTTGGGTGGGAACTCGAGCACAGTGGAACATGAAACTCTAGCACACCAAGAAAAGCGAAATTTGGGGAAATGTGACATACACAGCAAGATGCTTTTCATGTCTCTTTGGATAGTTTTCTTCGTTTCATTGATCACTGGATTGTGTGAACCCAATAAATATGCTTAATAAACTCAAAATAACATTGAGTCTCACAGTGTTGTTGCACCAAATTATCTGCTTGTAAGTACATCGCCTGTGGCAGACAAATCTGTGTGCAATACATGCAGCTGAGTTGTTACACATGCAAATATATTAACTGCATACTTTAATTCTCCAAACATGCAGCAGTGACCCTTTCAATCAACAGCGGTACCTTCGAGTGCAGCTACAAGTGCTCTGCTAAAACTGCACTCTGCCGGATGAGTTTATTCCATCCTCCATCATTTTTCTTACAGATTTCTGCCTCCTGATTTCTGGTATGCCTTTGCTGTCAGCTCTAGGGTCTGGAGCTGTTTCCTGCACACCCTGTAAATGCTGAACATCATTCTCTGCTAGTGCTCTGCTTTTTTCCCCATTCCCGGTTCTCTCTCCAGCCACATTTGTGACACTAATCTCAGGTATGATAAAGTTGCCCAATTCAGTAGCATCATTACCATTCTCTGGTTGTTCTAGAGTTGAAGATGGATAAGAAACAAAAACAAAACAAAAAAAGATGTCTGAAACAAACATGAAACAAAAGCCCATAGAAACAGATGACTAAAGCATTATGAATTAAAGCACATGTTCACATATTAACCTCATTAATTAGCAACATTAGTGAGTATGGAATTTTACTTAATTTTTAAACCATGGAGTTCAATCTTAGAGATATTGGCCTGCATTGACACACCCCAAGTTTCACGCTTGATCTTTCAATATTGAAAGCTTTGAGGATCATCATAAAACAAATATTCATAGAATTTTGAAAATCAGAACTCTCCATAATTATGACCATCTTCTCTGTATCAACATGCTAAAGTTGATACAGAGAAATTATTTTTACAATGAACAGCTATATCGACCTCACGTGTTATCATTTAAGAGCAGAAATTCCACTTTGAGCACATGTGCAGCATTACAGAGCTGCACGTACCATGGTCAGCCTGGTAACTTGGATCACCAGGTCAGCTCATCAGTACAAATCCCCCCCCTTTTTTTTTTTCTCCCCTCTCATTTCAAAATTATTCAACCAGAAAAAAAGTTATGAAGTCTCTCTAGTTATTAAAAGCACCTTGCTCAGATAAAAATCTATGGAGTTTTACTGAACTGTTTGCCACTACTAATCCTCTTAACATAGATACTAATCTTCTCTAATTACCTAATTTGCAATAAACTTAACTGTGTCACACAAGTCAGTTACTAAATAACGCAGGGGAGAGCAAGGAAACAACACAATTTCTGTAGTGGTGGGGGAAAAAAAAAATAAAAAGGAAATTAAGGATTTAAGGTAAAAACAGCATAACGTTAGTTCAAAGATTACCCCTTTTCACTGAGGAAGTCAATAGCAGGAGATATACAAGTGCTAAGCCTGGCCAAAATATTGTTTTAAGACATTCTAAGATTCCCACAAACGAGGACAAAAAAAAAAAAAAAAAACACCACACACAACACTGCTGCTCGGAGCAGCGATGACTGTGTGTAAGCACAAGAGGTTTGATAACAATGATAACAATGCAGCAGCTCTGTGAGGTCCTGTTCAAACAAATCCCAACTCGAGGATCACTGTCCAAGCCAGATGAAAACGTGTTCAAGAAGGACAAGCTCAAGGAGGAGGATGGTGGGAAGAAAGATCCTGGGAATTCCCAATATATGCAAGTAACAAGTTACAGTCCTGGAAGCTGTCAGCTTCAGAGTGTTTCAGGTGTCTGCAGGTCTTTTTTAAAGCACTAAATGTGCATTGGCAGCACGAGTTCCACCTGCACGGAGCTGCATTTGGTGACCTGGAGAAGGGTGGGCAGTCGCTGCACATCCTCCATGCAGATGGATAGCACAGCAAGCCAAGCAAAGGGGAAGAAAACCATACGCTATATGCTATATACAGAGCACGTGCTATATAGGTAACCTTAGACACAAAGGCTAGAGCAACAAATCTGAAAGGAGTGAAAACAAACTAAAGCCATAGCTCAGGCTAAAGCTCAAACAAAACACACTGTTTTATGCAAACCCCAGGTCTCACACAACGCCAAGGATTAAGGAAGGAAATTTAAGGTTAAGACTGGCAGTTTGGCATTGCAGATGACGAGAGTTTTCAGTACAGACATTTAATTGCCAATATGAAGGACATCAATGAAAGGATTTATGATGACTCTTTTTTTCTCCTCGTTCTTCTAAAAGAGGGAATCCTCTCTAAAGGAGCAGCGAGGACGGCGGCGCGGGCGCACGGTGCCTCCGTCGCGCTGTGCCGCTCGGCTCCCTGCCGGCCTCTGGGCACCTTTGTCCCCCCTTGGTGCCAGAACCATCCCCTGTTGTATAAATAAACTTAAGCATGACAACTCTTTCTAACTATTCACTTGCTAGTGAAATCTATTTAGCAAGTTGTACTATGCAATGGAAATGGCATTAAAGCAGCTAAGAGCAGCAGCTTTAGAAGAGCTCAGCTTCAGACTAGACAGCTCTGGGGGGGCCAGGGTTACTCTTTTGAGAAAGAGAGATTAATACTCAGTGCTCAAGGCAAGGTAGCAAAAGAGGAAACACCAGTGCTGAAGAGCTAACAGATAAAACTGAATAAATATGTCACCTAGAAAGTTACTGCAAATATGGCATAACATTTGAAGAAAAACACTGTTGAAATCAAGTTCTACATATATTGTATAGTACAATCAACTTTGGGAAATATTTCGTGATTACCAGATGCTAAAAATCCATTCAAAAGATTTTTCAGTCTTAATTACCTTATCATTATGAGGGCCTCCAAACAAACTGCTCATCTAGATTGTAACTGGATTTTAACCACCACAAGCTCAAGCCATCTTTTCTACAGATATGACAACAGTTGGCATTTTGAATTATTTACAGAAGCATCAAGCTTATATCCCAAAATTATCATGATCATCTCAAAAAGTTAACACTATTCCAGGAGACAACTGTGTCTAATAATACTAATAAATCTCTCCACAGAGTCTCAAAGATACGTATCTCTAAACCTTGTGCAGCACTTGAATGACAATCATTCTAATGACAAAAAATAAGTCCTTCTCTGGTCAGTGTCATCTTTTTGGCTATGTATTCACCCCAAATCTGCTCAGCTCTTTTTACTCAGTGAGTTATGTCAGAGTACATTATCTCTATACACAGGAGATTTTCCAGTAGTTTTTTTTTATTGGGCAGTGTCAAACCAATTTTATCTTAGTAAGAAAAATGTTACTACTAGGGCTTGCTTTATTCTTTTGTCCTTGCTTCCATAAATAACCAGTTATTAAGTGTTCATGTGTGTTACCTACCACACGTTTTCACATTTTTTTCCTTTACTTGTGAATAGAGCCACTCAAGGCTTGTTTTTAAAATAAGAACAGTACAAACATTGATGCTCGATTAAATCCACTGTTTTATGTTTACGATCTAGAAGCAAAACAATTCAATAGCACAAAATAATTTGTGGATAAGTGGTGGCTAGTATCAACTGCCTCTATAAATCCTATTAAGTCCCGACTAGATGGATCCATTTTGCAAGTGACCTTTTCCTTTTCCTACATCTGTCAGGAATCCAGGTTCACAATAGCAACTTGAATTTAGGAAACGTCCTTCTGAAGATCAGCTCAAATGTAGTGGTTACATACAGGGTTGAGTATGACAATAAGATGAAACACTGTGCTGACCTTTTCCCAAAACAGATTTGATGGAGATTTTTAACAAGATCTAGTGCCTGCAAATGGAAGTATTCTAAAAAAAATACTAGAAAGAAAGCACTTCTCAGCTGGAAATATGATTAGTCTGTAATAATCCGTAGTGGCTCTATTTATTTTTTTTCCTCCATGGAAATGATGGAGAGTGCTGTCCTTGCTCTCACAGAGCTTTTTTGCTCGGCAATACCTTGGGGTAACACGGAAGATCAAATTTACTCTGAGTGTCACATGCTGTCTCCTCTGGCTCCCTAATCTATTGTAGAACTTGTTTTTCTGAGCCACAAAACTAAAACCACCAAATTCATCTTTGCACCCCCGCAATGCTCTAGGAGAGATAACAATGATCAGGAGTGACAGGTTTGTCACCTGACTTTTACCATTTCCAATATTCACTTTAGTTCAAAGGAGCATTTGTAAGCACAAGCTGCATTATTCTCTCTGCATGCCTAGCCTAAAGTTATTTCCTTCATCAGGAATCACTGGGCATGGTAGCAGTTTTGAACTCCGGATAGAATTCATTCAGACTTTAGAAGACCTTTAAGGCATAAAGAGCAATTTTATTAGTATTTTATAATAAGATTTTTGAGGAGGCAGTCTGAAGTGGCCCAATACACGGAACACATGCCATTTAAGTCAAAATGATTGGTGATCAGTCAGCCAAAAATAACTTAGATTTATTTTTTAGCCCTTGAACTACCCTGAGGTTTCCACAGCCTTCAACTTTACAGTTACTCATACAAGTTTTTTCTGTCCATCACAATAACGAGTGATTTTTTTCCCCAAATAAGTCTTGCTTGCTACCACTAAAGCAAGTCCAAAGTTTTTTTTTTTTTAATAGCCCAAATAAAGCGTTGACAAGAGTTTAGTAAAACTCCTTAACCTTCCAAATCTAATATTTCCTAAACACTGACAGCTCCTTGCTTAAGTCACACTAGCTAGAACTAGATTACACCACTGTTTCTCTTGACGTGACCTGCTTTGTATGAGAATGCCATAAAACAAACCATTCTTCCCCAATTTCTATGAATTCTCCTCTTATTCTCATTTCTTTGACGTTACTGTTATCTGCTGCAGTGTACATTGTCCTACCCATTTTATCCTGAACTTCAAGTATCACCCTTTACAAGAAGGCAATACTAGATCACTGTTTTGGGGGTTTGTTAAAAAAAAAAACTCCCAGATTTCAGTGTTTGTAAAAAAAATATTTTAAAAAGTATAATAGAAAACTGATTTTTATAAGGATGGCTCCAATACTGATTCTGTAATACATTCAGCATCACTAGTCTGTGTCCCCATTACCTAGTTTGAATGAACATTAGAACTACCCAAAAATAGCAGCAGGCAAAACCACCAGCCTTCAGAAGGTGTTTCTCCATTGAAAAGCAGAACTATCATACAGATTTTTGGCACTCAGCTAGTACTTCTTGTTTAAAAATCGTCAGCCTGAAGAAAGGAAAATAAACACTAAAGGCTAACATGCCCTTTAGGATCGTAACATTTCATGACATGGGACCTTACTCAAGTTAAAGATGCTAATGTTTTAGCTCTTCAGTGGTGCCTGACAGCTTTAAGTGGTTTTTAAATAATCAACTGAAAATATTTTTGGTTAAGTTTCTTTGCCCCTGGGCAGCTTACTATTGGCACCAGTGGGAATAGTTACTTCTCAAAGTCATTATTTTGAAGTCATTTTCTTCCAGCATGTATATATAATTTTCTCAATACTTGGCTGAAATATGGCTAGATCTTTTATGACAAGGAATTTCATAGTATTTTTCTAATTGTATTGCTTGTTTGCTATGAAAGTTCATAGTGTGCATTACACAAGAAGTTTTTTTAGGATACAACTTTAAAATACAGAATATGTTTTAATAGGTTCAGTATACATGTTCACTCACTTCCTTAACCTGTGATCAGAATTTCTAGCTCAGGAGAACAAGCTATGAGAAGTGATCTCTGGTTGATTTGCTGTTCTTCATCTCAAGCAGGTAGAAGTGGAACAGAATATTTCTTTTTGCAATACCTTCAGCACCATCTTTTTCACTTTTCCACAGACCTGTGTTCAACTTGTTAGAAACGCTTATGTTAATCTGCCCTAAAAATAAAGAATTTATCTGACTATCTTTAAGTCCCAGCTTTAAGTAATTTAAGACAGATGAGATTTTGTGGTAAGAATACTAAATATGATGGTAAAGCTGAACATCACTATTCAGAAGAAAACAGGAATATCAGCTTCTTTAAAGATTCAGTGACATTGTGAAATTCTCTTTAAGAGAAATTAGTTAAAAAAAAAAAGGCAGACAAAATCCACAAATATGGCCAAGGAAAAAGAATAGAGAGAATACTTCATCCAAATTGTATAAAGATTTCCATTCATTTGTTAAGAAAATAAACTCCAAACAGCTTGCTTACCAGCAGCAGAGTATGCCCTATTTCGTCTAAAATAGGTTTTATCACTGCACCATACTAAAACCATACTAAAAATCTGAATATTCACTTTAGAAAAGCAATCTCAATATAAATAAATTGAACGTACAACATTCATTCACTGACAGCATTTTAATTAATAATGAAGATGTGCAAAACCCAAAGTCTCAATATTATTTTAAATGGGATTAAAAAGCTAGGAATTCATTGCAAATATGTTTCTTACCATGTCTTTTCCATCTATGACCTCGGATAGACATGCTAGTCACAGCATTTCTGGATATTCTAGACGAAGTAGGTGTAATTTCAACCTGAATGCATTTTGTACCTTCTTTACTAGATTTCATGGCACCCTGAGGCAGTGAAGCTTTTATTGCATTAGCAACCTAGAAAAGAATAAATGCAGGTAAGATCTTAACAAGAAGATTCAAATTTTAGGAGAAGAATTATATAAGGGGACTCGTTTTATTCAGTAAGACTACTCTGTATAATTCCAGTTTAAGCTCAAATAACCACACTAAAATTTTGCAGAGGCTGTAAAACAAACAAACAAACTACATAGGCTTTCCGGGCTTTGGGCTCCTGGCATGACATTGCATCAGGGTATGTGTTCATCAGAAGAATTTACTGTTCTAAAAATTCTCCTCAAAGCTGAAATACAGCACCTACCAGCAGAGGTTCTGGATACAGTTCCAGCTGTGCTCTATACAAAATGTCATCCATTGCTTTACGAGCCAGATCCCATTCTCCATTATAACTGCAAAAATAAGTTTATACAAAAAAAAGTTAGCACTTATCAACTAATGATCCTTCTTGGTCACACGACATCCACAGATTTAGTATTCCTTAAAGCTCAGTTAGAAGTTAAACTAATTATTGACCATCTTGACTGCTATCAAGAAAACTTGTTCTGAAGATGTGTCTAAGGAGGTATGAGTTGTTTTCATTGACTACCCTGAGAAATTTTAGAAGTGACAGAGTTATTGACCAACTTAGTCATGACATTTGCTGAATTTCAGATGGGATAGTTCTAATTTTAGCAACACGGAAATATTTAGAAACTGTAGTAGCCTTAACATTTATTTCAGTTAATAAGACAGCTTCATGCACTAATATGACTATCAAGGGGTGAACAACATCAGCAATGGTAATTTTTTTTCCCCCATTAATTAAACTGACATCAGAGCTATGCATAGAGAAATGCAGGCAATAGTCTACAGCTGAAAGAGGTTATACACAGACTTCCATATCACCAGTTACACCCAGTATCTACTATTCCACCCCTTTTTCTCCAATATTACATGAGTTTGTTCTGCAACTGGTTAACTGATGTATATTCTTTTCTTGATGACTGTATTAGACAAAATCCTATTCACTAGGAAATAAATCATTGGAAAGGTTGCATGCCTACACAAATGCACAAACTAGGCTGGCATTTTCATTTGGTAAGCATGTATATAGAAAAAACACACTCACAAGGCATAATAAATCCCTGTTAGCATTTGCACCATAAATTCAGAAGAAACTGGAATCCTGCTGTTTACTCCCTTGTACTTTCTCACTTGTTGGCGAGGATATCCACAGACACAGATCCTAAAGAAATCACGCATTTGCCATTAGTAAAGAGTGTAGAACCACCTTCGTAAAGAACATTACAAAGCTAAGTGTTTAATATTTATTTTAACTACAACAGACCCGCAGACAGGTATCCAGCAACAACTCTGTGCTGAGCTAGAATAGGGAAGAAGGATATACCCTCCACGGACAGAGTTCAAAGCCTTCAAAACACAATAGAGAGGAGACAACCTCGTCCCTCATGCCACCTTCATACTGCAATTGAACATGAAAAAAGTTGGCAGGAAATAATTATGAATTAAAACCATTTGCTACTAAACAGGAGAAAAAAAAAAAAGACCAATGAACAAACAAAAAAACAACCCCTCCCCCTCCGTCACACACACACATGTTTGGGGAAATAAAATTAGACTATCAACTATTCATAGAGACACAACTGTATCATTCCATATAAAACAAAGTTGCACACAAGTTCCAGAGGAAAGACACTAGAAGTTTCATAATTATTATAAAATCAACTGAAAGTCACCTTTATAGATGAGTTTTGAAACAAAATCCACATCAGGCTCTGTAGTCAAAAAGTAGTTTGGAAACCAAAGACACTGCAAGGCTAAGTATTAAATTAATTGATTATTATCATTAAAGGTCTTTCCAGAAGTTCAGTAATATGAAGTTGGCTGTTTCCAAAGCACAAACTAAAAGGTTCAGTATCAGAAAGCTTCTTATGACACTGCTCTTAGTTTTTTGGTCTGCCAGAAAAACAAACAAACCTACAAGCTGCATTTGACTCTTCACGCTAATGTGGCCTTATCTCTAAAGAAGCAAACAAACAATAAAGTTAGGACTTCACCAAGAAAGGCAAGGAGCCCTGCCAGTAACAGCATGCAAGGAAACAAGACCACTTGGAAATGTTTATCAGGGAGTAAGATATCGATTTCACCAGACCCACGTCTTGCATTGGAAAACAGTTCTATCAACCCTAGGCTTGCACTGCCACTGATCAGGTTGGTCACCTGCTGCTCTAAGCATCATTGTTGAGTTAAAACTGTCATTGACATTTACAATCTTAAGCATGAATTTCTCAGACTGACAAAACCCAAAATCTAAGTGATTGAGTGCAACCATTTAAAGTCATGTTTCAGAAAAACATCTTGCTTTGGAATTTGCTTTCAAGTTTCATCTTGCTTTGGAATTTTGATTTTTCCAGAATGCCCAAACACTTCAATTGGTAAATAAATGCAAGTTTTTCCCTCTAAATTCAATATTCTTGATGGCCAGAAGCATACGTTACTTCAGTCCTTCCTGCACAGTCATTCAGATTAACAACTTCAGATTATATTGTGATTTGTATCAAACTACTCAAATAGCATAAAGCTTTGAATATTTAGAAACTAGAATGTAAATAGATAGTTCATCTGCACAGTACTTTGATAGCTAGCTAAAACAAAAATGTTATCTCCAGTTAGTGAGCCAAACTGACTCCTCTGATAAATATTTTTAAGATGCTAGAACCACCAGTTAATCCTCTCACATTTTATTTTTTTTCCACATATGGACAAAAATAAAGCACAAAAGCTCCTATCTCTTTCTCAAGTAAGAAGAGCTAGTTACTAGAATGAAAGCTGATCAAAAATACAAATGCATATATACGTGTATATCCATATATTGTATGTATATGTTAAGTATATGTATTTCCTATCCATTATACCCCATCGTTAAATGCTCCAGAAGAGGTCATTTGGCAATATTGGTTAAAAAAAAAAAAAAAAAAAAAAACGTATTTTAGTTTTCAACACACCAATTTCTACCAATGGTTTGGCTCAAAGACCACACTAAGATAATACTCATTTCAGCATTATGTAAAGCTGGGGAACGTGGGGGAAGAAGCCCAGTTTAAACAAACATTTCTCCTGACATGGCTCTCTAGTTTAAACAAAACTGTTAATTTAGACAAAAAAAAATTCAACTAGGCCATTTTTATTCAGATGTATGTATTTATGCATTTGCTAGATGTGACAGTTTAGGGACACAATAAATATTTTTGAAAAAAATAAATGAACTCTCAGCAGG